CCTGAAGGATTCTCCGGTTTCGCCCCACCTTGGAGGTGTGGCGAGGGGGAGTGCGTGCGATCAAGTCCCAGGCACAGCATGCATTGGTGATTCGCGAAGGCTGTTTTGTTTCTCGAAAAAAGAGAGTGCCCGTCGAGGGATTTCGTCTTGATCTTGTCACAACATTTATCTTATCTTCACATACTAGATCCTAAACCTGCAACCCTAAACTCTAAACTCTAAACCCCTAAACCAACCCCTAAACCCCCACACCCTAAACTTACCCATTACGTAAACCCTGAAACCCTAAACTCCAGCCCCAAACCCCGAAGCTGAATTGCACCTTCCTCTGGAGTCGCGAAAGATGCAAGGCATCCTTCTCGCTTTTGGCCTCCACAGATTGGGTGTAGGGTTTAAGGGCTTGGGGTTTACAGCTTACAGTTTACGCTCATGGCTGACACAAGACTCAGCTTCAGGATGGCAAATACAAGGGCTAGAATGATTAGAATGGGGTTTGGGGTATAGCATACTAGAACTACAGTAAGGAACCCGGAGAAATACCATCCGCAGTTATTCGGGCCCCTGTAGTAAGGCTGTAAAGTATTTGTGGCTTCAGGCTCTGCGAGTTGCAAATTTCGGAAGTCGGAACTCTGAGTCCATTTGGGTGGTTGTCAAAATCAGGGTCCCTTTTCGGGTCCTTATCATAACATGCCACCTATTATTTAGGGTACCCAAAAAGGGACCATAACCTTGACAACCAACCACCCATTCGTGGTTTATGGTTTTAGAGTTAGGGTTCAGGATCTAGGCTTGTCGGGTTCAGTGTTTGGGCTTGGTTTTCGGGTGGAGGGCTCAGGGTTCAGGGTCCAGGTTCCCTAAACCCTAAACCCTGAGCCTGAACCCCACGGCATCAAATCATAGGAGTTATAGGGCCAAGGTTTCTGAATCATCCCTGAAAGCACTAACCTCGAACCCGGCAGAAGCAAAGTCTCAGGTGGTCTTGAGAAGATGCCATGTTGCAAGAACACTTCGTGGACTTCGTGCACAAGTTTCAGTCCTCTAGCCGAATGTTTCTCAGTATGACCGCTACGGTGGATCATATACATCCTGCATTACCCATAATAAGGAATATACCATAGTTCCCATGGTTTAGGGTCCTTAAGGTAATGCAGGATTTATATCATCAAATGTATGTCTGTAATGTGCATGTCTTATTGCGCCGTCCATGCAGCGCTTGTGCGCAGCAACTGCCAAGCATGCCAAAGAATGCTCACATCGAAACCTCCGCAAGCCACACATCCCCCCACCCTCCCACCCTCCGTCACAAAGGAAGAGCGCAAAACAGAGCTGCAGCCCCTAAACCCTAAACCCTAAACCCCTAAACTCTAAACCCTAAACCCCTAAACCCTAAACCCCTAAACCCTAAACCCCTAAACCCTAAACCCGGAAAAAAAAAAGGAACCCAGACCTCCAATCCTTGCAGCAGCCGCTGCACCTGCCATGGGGAGCTTCCTTTGGGTGGTTGTCAAAATTAGGGTCCCTTTTTGGGTGCCCTAAATAATAGGTGCCGTATTATAATAAGGACCCAAAAAGGGACCCTAATTTTGACAACCACCCATATACGAGGCTTCAAAGATGTAACACGTTGAATACCCTAATGAGGGCCTTGATAACCACGCTAGGGTTTCGGGGTATGGTCTGCTATAGTAAACGATCAGGATCTCTAAGAAAAAAATAACAACTCAGGCTTCTATAATCAGGAGAATTTGGTGCTCGAAAAATCCTTTAAGGAGGGATCGACATTCCTGGCGAAGGTTTCAAGCGGGCTAAGGTTGAGGTAAAAAGAAACACTACTCGCCGAAACCGAAAAACTCTAAACTCTAAACCCCGGGGGTCGTAGGCGCGAGCCCTAAACTCGAAAGCCCAAAACCTTCGAAACCCCCAAAACCCTCGAAGCCCCTAAACCCTGGTCTCACAGAGAACCCCTGTAGAAGCCTATGAAACCCAATCACATCCCGCATGCCCAAGCCCAGGGCCCCTCCTACGCTAAATCCCTCAAACGTGCGGTGCTTATAAATGTCTGTAGGTTTCTGTACACGTATTTTCTTTTATCTATGTTTATGCATGGTTTTGATTGTTGATGTATACTGCTTATAGGCCCTTACAAGGCTTGAAATTCGCTCGCCGGTTGTTGGGGAATTCACCTGAAAGTATAGAGGTGGCCTTAACATGATTCAGCTCATATTTCTTACGGCAGTCGAAGGGCTTGTTGGAGACGTTGGGTTCGAAGGCGCACCTGCGCCACGCCGAGGTTTTCATCGACCTCTGCGACTTCAGAAGGCTGGGAGAAAGCTGTTGGGATTTAGAGTTTAGGCTTCAGGGCTTCAGGGTTAGGGTTCAAATTAGAGCTTAAGCACTTCAGCGGGGCGGGATTTGGGAGTTGCGAACGAGTACAGACTCTCCCCACATTGGGGCGCTAGCTTCAGTGTTCAGTGCTCCTAGTCTTTCCCTCCTCGCAGGTTTAAGTGCCCCAAAAACCCCTGCAAGTGGCAAAGCCACTGTGAAGCTCAGACATGCTATCTTGGATGTCTTCGCAGCTACGAGTGTACAAGCCTTCAGCGAGAGGGGAAAATCATCGAGCTGCGTTCGTCCCAGCCTCGTTCTTCCTCCTACGGGCACGCGACTGCACTCACCAGCTAGAGCGCCATCAGTTTCTTCCCTCCGCTGTCACGGTAGCGGAGCCTTCTCTCAGAGTGGAGGGGGGCTCGCCTGCGGATCCAGGGACCTTGGTGGACTGACTGACGCCCGGGGGAGGGTCTCAGTCAGAGATGTCAAGTGGAGGAGGCGGAGAACTTCCCGCCACACCGAAGAACAAGGACGGCGTGCCGCAGTGGAACGGGGACCCTGCGGCTTTCCAGCAGTATGAAGAAGAGTGCTATTTGTGGGAGCAGACCCAGCAATGGCATAAGAGAAGCATGTGTGCCCCCAGACTGAAGTCAGAGTTGACCGGAGCGGCAAAGCGGCTTATCTTGGGCCAACCAGCAGACTGGACCGCCCATCCGGGCGGCGTGGCCGAGCTGATGAAGTTCCTTAGGGCTCGCCTTGGCCGGCCCCAGATGCCAGAGCTCTCCGAGTTACTCCTCAAGTACTTCAGGGGCTCCCGTCGGAAGAACGGGGAGTCCATCAACGACTTCGTGACCCGGAAGTGTGAAGCTTACATGCGAGCACAGCAGGCCCTGACTCGCATCACGAAGGACCGACGACCAGGCCAAGAGGGCGCAGCAGAACCATCCTACGGCAACCAGGGCTCTGGTTGGGACAACTGGAGCCGCCCCGGGTGGAGCCGAAGGACAAGTGTGGAATCCGAGGACGTGGGTGCCATTCCTGAAGAAGGGCCGCCCCAGGCGGCAGCCCCAACGGGTGGCGAAGAGCGCGAGGAGGATGAGAACTCCTGGCACGGATCCTCAACGTGGCAATGGAGCGACTACGGCTATGGAGGTTGGAGCGGCTACTCGTGGAGTGGCGGATGGGCCCCAGTTATTGGGAGCCTTCGTGGACATGGGCGACGACTTCCTCCTCCGGGGCCTCAAAGACCAAGGGCGCGATCGTGGACATCATCCCGGACTTTGTGCAGGGCTGGTTCCTCCTCATGGATGCCAATTTGGACATTCACGAGAGAAATGGAATCCAAACGGCCCTCCAAGGCGACTTTGGGCTACAGCGCGTAGCCGCCGAGTTGCGAGCCCAGTGGCCGGATTCCGAGATTCTACGTCGAGACCGAAGCCATCGGAGTGCCAGCTACTGGAGCGAGTGTCCCGACGATGGGGAGGGCGTCGAGGAGGAGTTTGGATACCAAGTGGATGTCGCCTGGCTTGCGGAACAGGGCATGAACGAAGAGGGCATCGCCATGATGAGTGAGGCTGAAGGCGAGGTGCAGGAGGCACTCGCTGCAATCCAGCACGGTCGAAGGACATTGAAGGAAGCCCGCGCTCGCCAGCACGAGGTGAAGATGTCAAGAAAGTACTTCAAAACCTCGTATCCGAAAGCACCCCGACCTTCCAATTTCAGCGGCCGCGATGACTCCAAACTCACCTGCCTTCGCTGTGGGAAACTCGGCCACAGGGCAGCGAATTGCCCCGATCAACAGGAAGGCAAGCCAAGTGCTCAGGTCGCTGAGGAAGCTCCCTTCGTGTGCTACCTCGATGCCCCGGTGACCGAGACCGAGGACCAGGCCTACATGACTGCCGTCACCACCGCGGAAGCCGTGGAGAGTGGGAAGGCGATTCTCGATGGCGGGGCCACCCGCACCCTCGCCAGCGTAGCAGCTCTAGAGGCTTTGATGAAGGTGAATAAGCAGAAGCACGGCCACGACGGCATCATCCACATCGACCCCGAGGACCGTCCGGTTTTCGGCTTTGGGAATTCCACACAGGAGCAATGTATGAGCACTGCTCAGATCCGCCTGAGGGCTGCCGGGCAGGCTGGAAGCTTGCGCGTGCACGCACTTGATAAAGGGCACGGTCCAATTTTGTTCAGCATCGACAGTTTGCGTCAGTTGGGTGCTGTACTGGATTTTGAGCACGATTATGTTATCTTTAGGAAGCTTGATGGGACTCGAGCGATCCCCTTGGAGAGGTCCAACACGGGACATCAGTTGTTGCCACTTAGTGAAGACTTGTATCAGAATGCTGTCCCGCTGAGTGCACCTTTCCCCAGCTTCCCTGAGCTGTTCAAGTAGGGACAGCTCCTTCCGCGATCCAAGGCGTCTGGTGGAGAGCAGAAGGTTTCAAGTGTTTTGTCAGACGTGGGGAAACAATCAGATGCATCATGTAACCGTCCTGAGGGGAAATTGGGATTGTACATGAAACATGCTGATTCTAGTGGGGAACAAATCATACTTCCGAGAGCTGAAGAAGCGTTACCACCCGCATGCAGCAGCAGCATGCATGACTTACACGACCGCAGCAGCATACACAGCCAGAGCGCCGTACCGCCCCCAAACCCAAGCACCGCGCTCACCAATGCCAGCTATCAGCAAGATGAACAAGAAGGAACTGGCTCAGGAGATCGAGGAACTCGGCGGCACCGCCAATATCGACCGCCGTCGTCTCGAGCTTCAGGTTCAGCTGATGTCCCTTCGCGAGGAACACGGAGTGTCGAGCAGCAGCAAAGGGGCCCAGACCGACTACCAGAAGTGGACTGTGGCAATGAACAAAGCGGGGCCCCGAAAGGCGGACCTGATTCGCTTTATGGAGCAGGAGCTGCAGCTGACGCCCCGGGGCAACGATACCATCGTCCAGCTTCAGAAGGCAGCCCTCCTCAAGATCTACGACATGTCCGGGGTTCACGAGACAGACCCTATCGGATTCGGCCAGTACAGCAGCCTGTCCTATGCCGAGGTTGTGGATGCACATCCGGAATATGTCCGGTGGGTGCGAGTTACGGCGAAGGAGGGCCAATGCAACCCTCTGATGACGCGATTCTACAACTGGCTGGAAGGCCGGGAGATGATCGACGAGAAGAAGATCCAGCCGAAGACCAAGGTCGAGATTCCGAAAGCTATGAAGGTCGAGAGTCGAGGCTATCCAAAACCCTCAGCCCCGTCAGTGGCGACCTCGTCGGCGAGCCAGGGGACAGTGAACTCCGAGATGATGCAGCAGTTGGTGGGAGTACTCCAGCACCTTCAGAAGGACGTGCAGGAGCTGAAGAACGAGCGCCGCGAGACCCGTGCTCGCAAGGAGACTCACACCGACGAGGAGATGATCCCCGATCAACAGGACGGCAGCTTCGTGGCGGTGTCCGAGTCCATTGGGGAGAAGTGAGTGAGGTGGAGGCCTCGGCGGATGAAGCAGCTACGAATGAGGTTCCAGATTTGGGCACGGACCTTAGGAAGAGCCTTAGTGAAGCTTCGGCCCGACACCTAGAAGACCAGGCCTGGAACATAGTTCCGGGTTTGTTTCAGAGTTTGAGTGGTTATGGTAAGTTGGCCCTGTTAGAAGTTGGCTGCGATCCGAAGAGTCCACTGACAGCGGCGGTGCATCAGCTTTCCGGCACCACGAGCTCAGCGGCACGTTGCTCTCTGTGGAATGGGTGTGATGTAGGTAAGCCCGAAGGTTTGAAGTTGGTTTTACATAGGATTGAGGTGGAAAGGCCCCAGGTGGTGTGGTTGAATCCTCCTAGTAGTCCTTACAGTCCCCTCCAGAGCATGAACAAGAAAACCGGAGAGCAACAAGAAGCCCTGAACCAGAAACGTTTGGAAGCTAGGCGCGCCTATATAGGATATTGTGCGGTTTTTCACTACTGTGTGCAACAGGGGATTCACGTTGTTTGGGCCATGTTGGACACTTGTTTGGCTTGGCGACTTCCGCTGATGCACCAGCTGCAAGCTAAGTACCAACTGTATGACGTGACTTGTAAAGGCTGCGCTGTGAATCTTCGGGATTCTCCGGGAGGACGCTTCGTGCGAAACGGCTGGCGTTTTCTCACAACGCATGTTCGTCTCGCTCAGGCCTTAGACCTTCCCTGTAGGTGCCCTAAAGAATACCGACACGCTCCCGGACCCCAAACTCCCAAAACAATGCCCGAGCAACACACCGCGGAGTTGGCCAAACGAGCGGCCAAGTATCTTCTGCAAGAGCTCAGCTACCAAGGGGTCATGCAGGAATGCGCCGGCCGTACAGTGCTTCCAGAGAATTTCGGAGTAGGCGACGCATGTGTTTGTTCTGAGCTGAAGATTCCGAACTTGCCACCACAAAAGTGCTGTTGTTGCCTGCGAGAGTCTAGTGTCCTCTGGGGTTCCGAAGTTTTCGAAGATCCCTCTGTAGGCCCCCAAGAAGCCACAAAAACTCCTGAGGCCTCGAGTCCCGAAGCACACCCGGCCCTCCAAGCTCAAGCTCTCGAAGATCCCGCCGAGGTCCTAGCCCGAGAACTCCATAGGAAGAAAGACTACTCCCTCGAAGCGTGTGAGAAGTTGCTGCAAACCGTGGACCTCCATAGGCCCTTCCTCAAGCCTCGAAAGATTGTAGAAGGACCCAAGGCCCAGTACGGTACTTTCGGTTTGTATAGTTACGGTTCGCAGTATGGAGTTACCAAAAGAACGTCTCTTCAGCCCGAAGTGACCCTGTACATGAACGCGTTCCTCAAAAACCAATTGGGCCCCAAGGTGCAGTGGACTTCGTTTACCATTAGCAAGAACAACAAGATTCCTCTTCACAAGGATGTGAACAATCACGCGAAGTATAACAACTTTTCAATCGGATTGGGTAAATTCACCGGAGGCGAACTCTGGACGGAGGTACCCAATCCCGAACGGACCGAATGTCTGGATCCTCAGGTACGCGAAGATGGGACGACCCTCTATGGACGGAAGCAGGCGCTACGAAGACGATGGGTCGAGTTCGATCCCAAGGCTTGGCACGGAACGTGCGAGTGGAGTGGGGATCGATGGGTTGTGACGGCTTTTGTGAGTAGAGGGATTGAACACGCGACTTCGGAACAGCAAGCTGAGTTGGAGCGATGGGGTTTTCAGAAGCCAAGAACTGAAGAGGCCCAGGTCCTACAAGGCCCCAAAACATGGAATCCTCAATTTAAATCAAGTCGTGAAAAAGAAGATGAGAAGATTCGACGAAAGCTCTACCTTCTGCATGCGGCAACGGGCCACAGTAGCACCAGGAACCTTATTCAGGCACTTCGGAGGCGCAACGCGTCCTCAAGAGTAATTGAGCTGGCCAAGCAGTTTAGATGTTCTGTCTGCAGCGAAAGAGCTAAAGTCACTCCCCAACACGTTGCCTCCCTGGAGCCCCTTCCTCCAAAGTGGCACACCATATCGGCTGATATCGGGACATGGCAGCATCCACACACTCATGAGCATGTGAATTTTATGCTGATCATCGACGAAGGTTCGAGGTTCCGCGCGGCTAGGATAGTCACCCGAGGTCAAAAGCAACAGCCCTCATCAGCCACATGTCTTCAGTACTTACAGGAGGGATGGACGCAGTATTTCGGAAATCCCAAGTGTTTGAGGGTTGATCCTGCGGGGTATTTTCGGAGTCAGACGGTGAGTGATTTTTGTGATCGGCATCAGATTTTCCACGATGTGATTCCCGGAGAGGCTCATTGGCAAATTGGGACCTGCGAGCAGGCCATTCAGGGAGTGAAAGAATCGTTGCATAAGTTGGCCCAAGAAGAGCCCGAGACGGATCCTGCGGAGCTTTTGTCATGTGTGGTACGTGTGTTCAACCAAAGGGAGATCATACGAGGATTCTCCCCTATTCAACATGCCTTTGGAAGAGCAGCAGACACGACTGGAAGATTGATCAACGAGGCTCACGGTCTCCCCGACGAGTTACAAGTAGAGAATGCTGATGGGGAGTTCGAGCGAAATGTTCAAAGACAGAGTTCTGCAGAAAAGGCGTTTGCCGAGTGGCAAGCTCATCAGCGAATTCTTCGAGCGAGCCACTCGAGAGCTCGGCCCAGCCGGGACTACATACCGGGAGAGCTAGTTTATTTTTGGCGAACCCAAGAATCTGGGAAACACAAGACGGCGCCGGGGACGCACAAAGGACGCTTTCTTGGACCCGCTCGGGTATTGGCTACTGAGACCAGGAGAGACGAACAAGGACAGCTACGCCCTGGGAGCGCCATATGGTTGGTGAGGGGCAGGCAGCTGATCAAGTGCGCGCCGGAACACCTGCGGCACGCATCGCCTCGAGAGGAATTGATTGAGTCCCTCACCAGCAGTGAACAGAAGATTCCGTGGACGTTTCATCGAGTGGCTCAGGAGATTGGCGGCAACCAATATGAAGACCTGAGCCAACAAGTTGCTCCCACTCCAGGAGAGTGGGCTAGAGCGCAGGACCCTGCACGGGAGGTACAACCGGTACGATACCGAGTGAGCCACAAGCGACCGGCACCCGCTACGGGCGCCGCACCCACCGGAGAAACCGCTGAGGATGAAGAGATGCCTGAGACTCTGGAGGAGTCTCTTCCGCAAAGGCCCCGACTTAGCGAACCAGCCGCCTCCAGTTGGGAGGCTGGAGTTTGTTGGTGGAACGACATACCGAACGATGCGTGGAACCCGGGACAGCGAGCCTATTGGACGGATGAGAGTGCGGCAGTGGAAATTGCCGTGGAACTTCCGGAGACCAATCGTGGCCGTCAGAAGGCCACCAACAACTTTGAAGGTTTCTTCGCGAGCGCGCTCAAGAAAAGAGCGGTGGAGGTCTGCGAGCGAAAGTTAAGCCCTCAGGAGCAGGAGGAGTTCAGAAGTGCCAAGCTGATTGAAGTGAAGAATTTTATTGCCTCCAAGGCCTTTCAGGCCTTGCCCCCAGAGCTTCAACCATCCAAGGAACAAGCGATTGGCATGAGATGGGTCTTGACATGGAAGTATAAAGATACTGGAGAGCGGAAAGCCAAGGCAAGAGCAGTATTTTTGGGCTATCAAGACCCTGCTTATGAACATCGGCAGACTACGGCACCGGTTATGACGAGGCAGTCACGACAATTTCTTCTACATGAGGCCGCATGTCGCAAATGGAAGGTCTTTAAGGGAGATGTCTCTGGAGCTTTCTTGCAGGGTCGAGAGTACCCGGGAAACCTGCACTGCATACCTTGCGATGAGATTTGCGAGGAGATGAAAATCCCAAAGGGCTCGGTAACGAAGTTGCGGCGAGCTTGCTACGGCTTGGTAGACGCTCCCTTGGAATGGTATCGTACAGTGAACGAATTCTTGGAGTCCTTAGGACTTACGCGGATGTGGGCAGATGCCTGCATGTGGGTCTGGCGCCCACAAGGCGTTCTTCGTGGCGTCATATCAGGTCACGTAGACGACTTCCTGTTTGCCGGTTCTGAATCGGACACCGAGTGGCAGCAGATCCTGAAAAGAATCAAAGAGCGCTTTCAGTGGGGAGACTGGGAATCCGGAACCTTCACTCAATGTGGAGTCCAAATTACCCAGTCCGAGGAAGGGTTTGAGTTGTCACAAGCCCGCTACGTAGAGGAGCACATTGAAGAGATCCCCATTAGTGCCAAACGTCGCAAGGAGAAACATTTACCTACTTCCGATCGCGAGAAATCTTCCTTGAGGGCCGCGCTTGGAGCTTTGAGCTGGCACGCCCAGCAAACGGCACCTCACCTATCTGCTGAGGTGGGCCTCCTTCTGTCAGAGGTTAGCCAGAGCAGTGTGGACACCATCCTAAGGACCAACTTGTTGGTGCAGAGTGCTAAGGCTCGAAAAGACTACTCGATCAAGATCAAGGCTTTTCAACCTGAGGAGCCCTTGTGCCTGTACGCCTGGGTGGATGCAGGTAGCCAGAATAGACCAGATGGAGGGAGCACTCAAGGAATTGTTGTGGGATTGGGACCCTTGAACATGCAGAATGGAGAGTTAGGACATGTGAATTTGATCAGTTGGCACAGCAACCGTATCGACCGGGCCTGCCGGAGTCCGGGAGCCGCTGAAACCCAAGCGGCCGTGAATGGCGAGGACTGTTTATATTTCGCCAGGTTTCAAAGAGGCGAGATGTTACAGGGAGTTCCAGATGTTCGAGCCCCCGATGAGATTGTTAGAAGCATCCCTGGATGTGTGGTGACTGACTCACGTAATGTCTTTGATCGCCTGAACTCCGAAGTGCTTGCTATTAAGGGCGCCGAGAAGAGGACAAGTATCGAATTGATAGCTTTGAAAGAATCCCAACAACAAACATCTGTTGTCATGAGGTGGGTCCACTCGGAGGCCCAGCTGGCGAACTCATTGACTAAGGCTGGTGGCTCTAAGGAACTTGAGCTCTTCTACAGGATGAATTTCCAGTGGAAGATTGTGGAAGATCCGGAGATGAAGTCGGCAAGGCGACGCAAGGCCCAAGGACTCGATCCCCTCGACCGAACCAGCTCAGAGTGCAACACCCAAGCAGCAGAGATTCACTTCTCAACAGAAGCATATCGGAAGTATGATTTCGACGGTTTTTGATCTTTGAACATTTCCGTCAGGACGGGGGGAGGGACGGATGCAAGTGGCAAAGCCACTGTGAAGCTCAGACATGCTATCTTGGATGTCTTCGCAGCTACGAGTGTACAAGCCTTCAGCGAGAGGGGAAAATCATCGAGCTGCGTTCGTCCCAGCCTCGTTCTTCCTCCTACGGGCACGCGACTGCACTCACCAGCTAGAGCGCCATCAGTTTCTTCCCTCCGCTGTCAACCCCTATACCCCAAACCCCAAACCGGTTGGTTCGGGTTGAGGGTAGTAACTCCAAGTAAGGGCTTGACCTCAGAGACTGCACGGGCGTACGAGCACCACGGGATCTTCCTAGAATCGTAAGCCCGAAGTTCTACGGTTGATGATATAAATCCTGCATTATCCATAAAAAGGAATATACCATAATTCCCATAGTTTAGGGTCCTTAAGGTCATGCAGGATTTATAAAATCCACCGTAGAATTGTAGATCTCATTCCCTTAACCCAAGACTTGAGATTGAATCCTAATCCCTGCACCTTCGATTCTCATCCCTACACTTTGAGTTCTAAACCCGGAAGGAAACCCGGACACCCTAAACCTCGGGGTTGCTTCAATCTCTGAAGGATCAAAAGCTCAGGAATTCCATCGGCTCTTCTTCTTGACGAGCGGCTTCAAAAGCAAATCTCTAAACCCTGATGGCTTGGGAGTAGGATTTGGGGTTTAAGGTGAGCCAACCCACACTCAGAGCACCCGCGTTCGCAACAAGTTCCCACCACTTGAAGAAAGAGCCGTCATCATCCGGAACATCCTCGTCCACATCATCCTTGCGATCCTCATCATCATCACCATCACCACCACCCATCCTAAACCGTTGTAGACCTTGTATATACCGAACACTTAACCCCTGTTCCCTGTGCCCTAAACCCCTGACCCTAAACCCTTCATCATAAGCCCTTACCCCTGAACCTAAACCCCTGCACCCTGAACCCTAACCTTTGTACCCTAAACCCGAAAACCCCGGTACTCTAAACCCTAAACCCTTGTGCCCTGAACCCCTGCACCCCAAACCCTATAATTAAACCCTACCCCTCTACCCTAAATCCTAAACGCCGTACCCTAAACCCTAAACCCAGTAATGGAGGGTTGCATATGGTATAGATCTCCAAACTAGGATGCCCAGTAGTGCGCTTATTCCGTTCTTGTAGTCCTAGGTTCCTCATAAAGTTACCTGATACCGAAAAGGGAGCCCTTGTTATTCCTGGGTCACTGGGCAGAAAAGGCGCCTTCCGCAATCCTCCACAGGGAAGCTGGACGTAGAGGCCGCGGCCTGGCTGCTTCATTCACTCAGCAGGTTTTTGAAAGTTGTTTAGAGGGTTTTGTTTGCTCAGTTGATGAAGGTTCTTGCGGATTTTTGTGTTCTATATAAGTTATATATATATAGATATATATAGATAGATATATATATATATATATATATATATATATATATGGTCAGGCGTCTGGCGTTCCCGGCCCCCCCCCCCCCAATGGTATGGTCTGGTAGGGTGGGGGGGGGGGCCCTGGCGTGCGCGGAAAGGGGTTGGGCCGTTGGAGCTACCTTTGGATGGTGGGGTGGTGCTGGCGGCCAGGGCTCACGCGCAAGCCCTTCGCAAGCCAGCCGTAAACCCTAAAACGCAAAGCGTGCCCCTGTTTTGAGCAAGCTTAACTTGTACTTAAAACGCAACACCCAACCTAAACCCCACCTAGCTGCAAGCTCTAAGCCTAAAGCAGAGCATACACCGCAAATCCTCCCTAAGCCCTTGTCGACTCGAAGCCTTATACCTTGCAACCGTAAACCCAAAACTCAAAAGCTTAAGCTAAACCCTAAACCCCAAAACCCCACAACCACCCCACAGTGGGAAGAGGAACCCCACACCCCACACCACAGGGGAGGGGGGGGCCCCACCCTGTATCCGGATCATTGACCTTTGGGGGGGAGGGGGGGGGGGCTGCGGAGCGCATGACCATATATATATATATATATATATAGATATGTATATATATATATATATATACAAGGGCTGCTTTTGGAGTTTTGCAACAGCTTGAGGTGTCGTTTTCCAAGGGTTTTTGTCAGGGCCTCCGACCCTGGTCTGCGGATTTTCAGGTCAGGCGATTTGGGAGTTTCCGAACATAGAGGACCCTAATATAGTACCCCTTAATCGCAGGATCCTTAGTCTAAGGACCCCAAAATGAGGTACCCCTAATTTTCGGAAACTCTTGTTTGTTGCGGATTTCACTTCAGGGTTTGAGACTGACGAAGATCGACCGGCGCCTTGCTGGCAGGAGAACCACCGACCGGCGCTGTGCTGCCCATCATGCCAACCAGGTACGTCCTGGCATCCAGAGGCGCTGGCCGCCGCAGGGGGTACGCGACAAAGCTAAGTTTAGGCTCACGTTGCAGCAGCTAGGAACGAAAAGCTTGCTGATGCTTGCGTTTTGCTGGCGTGGCTCGGTCTGTCCCAACGGGAGGTTGCTGAAGTACGCAATATGTCCAATATGCTCAAAGCACATGATGACTTCCGGGTGCTTTTGCTACATGTAGCGATGCGGTTTCTCGGTGACCATTTCCAATTTCCCTGAAGAATGCTGATCGACTTTCATTCTGTGATCAGTACAACCGAAATAAATGCCTGCTGATGCTCATGATGCTTGCCCTCGTTCTTGCCTCCACCAAAAATCCCGCTGGTTGATGGCTAAGGACCCCCAAAATAAGGTACCCCTGTTTTCGGAAACTCCCACGTGCCACCGAGACGGCAGCCCACTGATGCTCATGATGCTTTGTTAATGTCTCTTTGCCAGCCGATACAAGACTCAGCTGATGCTGATGATGCTTGCTTGAAGCCGTGATGCTCATTTGTGGATCGGCCTGCGTTCATCATACTCGCGCAGCGTTCCTGACCCATGCTACTGGAAACAAGACCCACCCATGAGCATGTTCTGGTGCTGTACATTTGAGCCACTTGACCCGATGACCCGCTGATGAGCATGATGCTTGTCGGTGGCCCGACGATTCGCCCCACTTCACGGTGCCTTGCGTTCGCCACCTGCAACCATGCTGCTGCTAGTAATTTTTGACTGAAAGTGTTCGTGATGGTCAGCACGAGCAAACCACTGATGGCTTGCGGAAGGCAAAAACAACGAGAGGCTGAGAGAGAGATAGAGACAAGGAGAGAGAAATAGAGAGAGAGAGAGAGAGACAGAGACAGAGACAGAGAGACAGACACAATTAGACAAGCAGCATCGGCACTGCGAGTCTCTGCAACAGTACCGGTAGCAGCGAAGGGTTTACGGTTCAAGTCTTTGATGTAGCCAATGTAAACCTCTTATGAAAGCCTTATACAACCCCTAAACGGCCCCATGATAACCTCAAACAACACTATGGGGTTTTGGGCTTAGGATCAGTGCAACCGGAACAGCACTCAGCGGGCTGCAGCCTCGTCTGCTTCCAGGCCTGAAGCAGGTCTTGCAGAGGGTGTGCGTTTCCAGAGTTCCTTTTGAAGGGATTTTCTAAAAGTTCCAACTGAGAGTTCCTGGTAGGAGTTGCTCCGAAGAGTTCCTTCTAAGCGTTGCTTCGAAGAGTTCCTTTTAAGAGCTCCTCTTCCGTTTTAAGAGATCCTTCTTGAAGGGTCCTGTAAGGCTGTATCGAAGCTCAGAGTAGTGCTTCTCTATTAACTCGGGCACATCCTAAACACTACATGGGTGGTTGTCAAAATTAGGGCCCCTTTTTGGGTACCCGAAATATTAGGTGCCGTATTATATTAGGGACCCAAAAAGGGACCATAATTTCCACAACCACCCACATGTGGACACAGGGTTCAAAGTTTAGCGTATGTGGATGTCGCTAACAACTCGACAACTACGTCGCAGGAGCAGCCACAAGACGAACTGCCGCACGTCCCTTTTCCAGTACGGGTAGAAGGCGGAGAACTAAGCCGCAAACCCCGAACCCCTACCTAAACCCCCAAAACCCCTCAAACCCTAAACCCCTAGGTCTCAAACCCCTAACCCCGAACCCTAAACCCTAAAACGCCTAGATCCCAGGTTTCGGCTTTAGGGCTTTAGGGTTCAAGCTTCAGGGTTTGGGTTTGTGAGAGCCTCAACCAAAGCCCAAAAACTCTCCAACAACCTCGAGTCCCACTGAGACCCGGAGCTGCAAAAACCGACAGTCCCAGGTTGCAGAACCCTTTTGTGATGGGAGGGCAAAAGGGGGGGTTTAAGATTCTTGGGGTAGGGATTCCTTAGTATGAACCCTATTATGGGAACCCCAGTCCCTACTAAACCCCCATAGGCTAAAACCCCTTTTGGCCTCCTATGACTTTGTGCACATGCAACCGCAACCTGTCATCTAAACCGGTCACGAAGAGAGCTGGTACCAGGATTGAAGCGGACGCAGGTGACCCATCAGTTTCCAAGTAAGACGGGTTGGGATGTACCTAATTCCAGTTTAGGGTTTTGGATACAACACTTCCCGAAAGCTACATCACATCCGAATTTCGCGGTCCTGCACATCCAAAAATTCCCCCTCAAACGCAAGGCTCAGAGCCCACATTCCTTGGCCCACGACCGACAACGCGCTTGCTCTCAATCTCCACGGCACAGCGCACAGTCGCTAGCAGCGGTTTGCCTTCGCAATTTCTGGACGTCGAGCTCAGGCCCTAAACCCGAAACCCCTAAACCCCTAAATCATGAACCTTAAAGTGCCTTGAGCCCTACTTGGAGGTTCAGAGGTAGTTAGAAGTAGGGTAACTATACTTATAACCCATATGAGGGGGACTAATAACCCTACTTATAACCACCCGTGACCCTCCAAGTAGACCCCCCAAACCCCTAAACCTCAACCCTAAACCCCGAAACCATAAACCTTAAACTGCCCTTAAACTGCCCGAAACCCCTAAACCCCCAAACCATAAATCTTGACTTATACGGGCATCCCAAGCCCCTAAACCTCCGAAACCCTAAACCCCTCCACCCG